CAGTGTTGTGATGTGGTCGTCAGAGGACAAACGAGGGTGGGCGAATCAGCGGACAAACGATGTTGACACGCCCGCCCAATCTGGCATGCTTCATATAAACACGCCCGCCAATCTGGCATGCCGTCGCTCCCAAACAACACAACACACCCACTTATCAACCCCTCCCACCACACCTTCAACCACACGCAAACACACACACACACACACACACACCACACACACACATCAACCACTGCCATCGGCATCTTTCTGTGTGGCGCTGGCCTTTGACGCCTTTCATACTCTTCTTGAGCCGACCTGTGTACCACTGCCAACCGTTCTTTTGCCTCTGTTCCTTGCGGGCTGCGAGCATGGTTCGTGGGCTGTCGCTGGCACTGGTTGCCACCACCGTCATTGTGTCGCTGTCGCTCGTGGCTGGAGTCCACGGCGAGCCATGCGGTGACCGCATTGTCAACAACACAGAAAAGCCAATCTGCAAAGGCGGATCCGGCACGTTCTTGCCCGCCTTCAACGCCTACGGCGAGGACAACTGGTCGGATGGCCTGAAGATCTTCCTGTACCTTGCCGGGCTCCTCTGGACCTTCTCCGGCATTGGCATCATCACCGATGTCTTTATGGAGGCCATCGAGGTCATCACCAGTAAGGAAAAGGAGGTCAAACTGAAGGACGGACGCGTCGTGCACGTTCAGGTCAGCAGCAGCAACCAGTGTGTGTGGGTGTGGGTGGGGTGTGTGTGTGTGTGTGTGTGTGTGTGTGTGTGTGTGTGTGTGGGCGTGAGTGTGAGTGTGAGTGTGTTGGGAGGGGGGTGCAGATGCGTTTGGGTGTGGGGGTGTTGTCTCTATCTGTCTCTTTACCTGTCCCTCTGTGTGCCTTTGTGTCTCTGGCTATCACTTTCCCTCCCGTCTTCCTCTCCTGCACGCACATCATTGTGCACAAAACCTCGTCTTTGAGCTCAAACTCACCACCACCATCACGATTGCTGCCGTTGCTACACATTGATGTGTCTCCTTCTCTTCCCCTTCCCCCTCCCCCACCAAATCAGGTCTGGAACCCCACCATTGCCAACCTGTCGCTGATGGCACTGGGCTCCTCGGCTCCCGAGATTATCCTCTCCGTGATTGAGGTTGTGGCGGGAAACTTCTTTGCCGGCGCCCTTGGCCCGTCCACCATTGTTGGATCCGCCGCCTTCAACCTGCTCGTCATCTTCGCTGTCTGCTCCCTCGCAGTGCCACAGGTTGGTTATCACCGCAGCCCACAGTGTAATCGTGCACGCGTGTGCGCGTTCGTGTTTGTGTGTGTGTGTGTGTGTGTGTGTGTGTGTGTGTGAGTGTGTGTGTGTGTGTGTGTGTGTGTGTGTGTGAGAAAGAGAGAGAACGAGAGAGTGTGTGTATGTGTGTTTGTGTTTGTTTGTGTGTCTGTGTGTCTGTGTGTATGTACATGGTTGCGTACATTTGTGCGCGTGTATGAGTGTGCTTCCGCGCATCCGACGCCTCTTCGTGTTCCTCCCACCCCTCTTTCTCTTGGTGGTTTTTCCAACCGCTGCTCCTTGCTCTCTCCACTCTGCCCGCCTTTTGCTCGCGGACGGCCTTCACACGTGAGCACCCCTCCCCCCTCCCTTTCACTTTGCGGCGTTCACCAGGGCGAGGTTCGGCGGCTGGAGCAGTACGGCGTGTTCATCGTCACCGCCATCTTCTCTGTGTTTGCATATGTCTGGCTCATCATCATCCTCGTTGTCTCCTCGCCAAACGTCGTCGAAGTCTGGGAGGTGCGCTGCTGCTGCTGGTGATGATGATGATGATGATGATGATGATGATGCTGGTGGTGCTGGTGGTGCTGGTGGTGTGTGCGTTCCGGAAATGCACCTCAGCTTCTGTTGGTGACTTGTATCTCTTCCCCAAGCAATGCAACTCATCTAGACACCTGCGCTTGCGTAATGTGATGATGCAATGTGCACCAGGGTGTGCTGACGCTGCTGTTCTTCCCAATGCTGTTGGGCCTCAGCTTCATGGCCGATCGTGGATACTTCGACTTTGGAAAGCGGTGCGCCACTCACAAATGCACCGTCCACGTGTGCTCCCCTTACCTTGCCTTGTGCCTCTCAGTTTTCACGACGCCCCTTTGCTATTGCGTTTTGCCAACACCTTGAACGTGCTGCTCAATACCTCACGAAAGCCTGTCATCCATCACACCCTCTATCCACACCCTCCCGCCGCCACCACGACTACCTCACACCACCATCACGTCATCACCACGACCATCGTCGCCACGGCTTTGGTTGTCACGGCAGGCACCCGGCTTCTGTTGACAATGTGCTGCGCATTGACAACGACGTTGAGCACGGGCACCAGTTCCACGACCCATACGAGGCAGACACCATCATCAAGCGAATCGCGGTGCGCACACGCACACACACGCACGCACGCACACATGTACATTCACACATGCGTTCACGTGCGCTTTGCACTGAAGACACGCATGCACGGTCACATACGCTCACTTTCTCTCATGCGTATATGTGTGTGTGCGTGTGCACTTGAATGCTCCAGCGCTCCAACTCGATGACAATGGAGGATAAGGTCAACCTCGCCCTCGCAAAGAAACTCAAGGTGCACCCGTGCGCCTTGACTCCTTTTCCTTTGTTCTCCCCAATGTCGCCGTTTCATGTACATGGCCGCGCCTTGCACTCACCCTATGGGTTGCCTCTTCTCCTCACGACGACGACAACAACAACAACAACAACAACAACAACAACAACACCAACAACAACAACAACAACAACAACAACAACAACAACAACAACAACAACAACAACAACAACAACAACAACAACAACAACAACAACAACAATAACCATCACCGTCATCAGGGCGAGCGAGTGTCGCGTGCGCAGTTCCGGATTGACGCGACGCGAAAGCTCGTCGGCTCTGGCGGCATTCTCCCAGACTACAACAAGGCCAAGTTGCAGGAGGCCCTACTCGTAAGCTGTCGACATCCACACCACACACACACACACACACACACACACACACACACATACACACACACACACACAACACCGAACACACTCGCACCCGAACACATACACACGCACCCGAACATGCACACACGCACTCTCACCCCCATGTGGGCATGTGTTGGCAGCGGGACGACTTCTTTGAGGCGCACAAGACGAAGTTGGCGAAGAAGAACTTTGTTGGCCTCGAGTCGCTCCAATACTCCATCGGCGAAGGTCAGCAACACACACACACACACACACTCGCACACACGCTCACACACACACACACACACACACACACACACACACACACACACACACACACACGTGCACGTGTACGTACCGCGTTGTCACAATGCATGTCAGTCATGGTTACAGCAGGGGTATTAGTAGTGATTGATGGTGGTGGTGGTGGTGGTGTTCTTTCTCTGCGTTCAGCATACGCTCATGCCTGACATGCTTGTATGTGTGTGTGTGCGTGCGTGCGTGCGTGGGCAGGCGACGGCCACGTGAATGTGAAGATTCTTCGGACGGGCGACTTGTCACTGCCGCTGACCATTGAGTACTACACCGAGGGCGACACGGCAACCATGGGCGTGGTCAGTTGCATGCAATCACCTCACACTTGTGCCTGTGTGTGTGTGTGTGTGTGTGTGTGTGTAGTACATGCTCGCGTGGATGGATACGTGTGCGCATGTCTGGATGATCTGTTTCGTGAAGCACATGGCACTCACACGTCAAGCCACTTTACTGCGTGTGTGTGTGTGTGTGTGCAGGATTTTGAGGAGACGAAAGGCGTGGCCGAATTTTCTGCTGGAGAAGAAGAGAAAGTCATCCCAATCAAGGTATACACACATGGGCACACGCGTGCGCATGGTTGTGCACAAGATACACACACACACACATGCAAACACACATGCAGACTCATGCAGATACGTTCACAAACATGCTTGCGTGCGTGCGCATGTGTTTATTCATTTTGTGCAATTGCTCACCTGTGTGCATGTGTGGCGGTGTTTCAGATTATCGACGATGACGAGGAGGAGGACGATGAGCATTTCTACTTCTACATCAAGAACCCGTCCCCAGAGCAGTATCTCATTGTGCCCGGCCGCAACCGCGCACGCATCACCATCATCGACGACGACCACCCAGGTCATCACCGCGCCACATGCACACACTCGTACCCAGGGCAACATACACGAATGCACGAAGATCATGTACACGCACACACACTCACATACCCGCCCGCGCACATACACACGTACACTTTGTGACGCATGTGCACTCACCACACTCATCAATTCCCCACCCCCCTTTCTTGTCCCACGTTTAGGTGTTGTGTCACTTGAGCTGTCCAAGTTCAGCTGTTTGGAGAACGTCGGAACAATCTTCCTGTCTGTTCTGCGGCAGAACGGATCCAAGGGGGAGCTGAAGGTGAATTACGCAACACAGGACGGCACGGCACACGCCCCCCACGACTACGAGGAAACAAAGGGCACGCTCGTGTTTGAGGATGGCGAGACGGAGAAGGTGATTGCCATCAACATTGTTGACGACGAGGAATACGAGCTTGACGAGCACTTCTTCCTCACCCTCGAAGAGGTTCGTCCATGTTCATATGACGCAATAATGTTTCTGCTGCGGCTGCTGCGACTGATGTTGCTTGCGCTGCTGTTGACTTGATCCTGTTGGTGAGCGGCGCAGCCGTTGTATTGGGCGCGCTGTGCTGTCCGTTGCTCGTTTTCCTTCGGTTGTGAGCATGTGTTGCCCGCTTGTGCCTCGCATGTTCGCCGTTCGTATGTGTCATTCACATGAATTCATTGCTTCCAACCACCACCACCACCGCCGCCGCCGCCGCTGCTGCTGCTGCTGTTGCTGCTGCTGCCACAGAGCGAGGATGTCACCTTTGGCGAGGTGACCAAGTGCAAGATCACCATCCTCAACGATGATGAAGTCACCACGCTCGCTGACAAGGTTTGCACTTCGTTGCTTGTTCTCTCAGCACACTGTATGCTAGTGTCGTCTCCGCTTTTACTGTTCTTTAGATCGGTTTCGGTTTTGTGTTTTGCTCCCTGCGTGCTCGCGTGTCGCCCTTCCTTCTTCAGCACCACAGCAACCGCCCAACACGTCGCTCACCACCATCCACCACTATTCACAATGCGCCATTCACGGCTCGCCTTCATCACCACCGCGGCCACGACGCCTGCAGGTGACGGCGCTGCTGAATCTCAATCTCGACAAATTCCGCATCGGCGGCACGGACTGGAAGTCGCAGTTTGTCGACGCGCTCGCATGGCCGGAGGAGGTGTGGGCACCATCGTCGTGGTGGCGATTGGCAGTGGATCATGTTCGTGCTGCTTCTAATCCTCTTCTTGACAGCCAGACAAAGAATTCGCATTTACTTCCTTCAATTCGTCTTGTACCCCACAAACATTTTCTCACCACCACCACTACCACCACCACCACCACCACCACCACCACCACCACGACGCCCTCCTCGCTGTTGCTTCTCAGGGCTCTGGCACGTTTGCCATTGTGATGCACCTCATCAACATCCCCTGGAAGATCATTGCCGCCTGCCTTCCGCCCACCTTGTACGGTTTAAGTCGTAGTCTGAACTGGCGCAATGGCAACGCGCACGCACGCACATACACACACACACACACACACACACACACACACGCACACACTCACACATACACACTCACACACTCACACACACGCACGCACGCACGCACGCACACACACTCACACACACGCACACACACACACACACAATGTGCATCTTGCACGTCGCACCGCTTCACCTTCACATGCGTTCACCAACACACCCAACACCGTGGCCGCTGCCTTGCTTGTTTGCAGGTTCCTGAATGGCTGGGTGACGTTTGGGTCAGCGCTGATCATGATTGGCATTGTCACGGCGACAATTGGCGACCTTGCCTCTCTCATGGGCTGCGCAATGGGCCTTGAGGTGCGGAGATGCACGCACGCACTGCTTTCTTTTGCTCGCTGCGATGGAGGTTTCTGCCAGGCATCGTGATGGTTGCGCACCGCCCACTCGCCCACTCACCCTGCCACTTCCGCCACAATCACCACTCGCTGCTGCTGCTGCTGCTTCATCTTGTCAGGATGCGGTGACAGCCATCACGTTTGTTGCCCTCGGCACGTCGCTCCCCGACACATTCGCAAGCATGTCCGCCACAATTGCATCAGACACAGCAGGTTCGCATGCATGTGTGTGTGTGTGTGTGTCGATGGATATGAGGGACGCTGAGTTGCATAGCTTGTGCAGACGAGTGTTCGTTCCACAACCAGCCAGACATGTGCGCTTCTACTCACCTCCTTGCTTCCTGTGTTCATGCCACAATCCCCCGCTCCTTGCCTCGTCCATCCGTGCAGACGCAGCCATCACCAACGTGACGGGCAGCAACTCTGTGAATGTGTTCCTGGGTCTTGGCCTCTCGTGGATCATCGCCGCCATCTACTGGCCCGTCGTCGGCAAGACTGACGAATGGATTGCAACCGTAAGAGCACACACGCACGAGAACCAACCACATTTATGCAAAGAGATAGTGTGTGTGTGTGTGTTGCCTTGTGTAATAGTGTGTGTGTGTGCGCGAATGAATTGAATAATTTGACCAATGCTTCCAAATGTCCCTCATTTGTGCCTTCACCTCTTAACGCGACCACAATCAGGTTCCCCCGTGCATCAACGCCAAGTACTCCAATGCAGTGTTCTGGGTTCCCTCTGGCGACCTTGCTTTCAGTGTCATCATCTTCTCCCTCTGCTGCATCATCTGTCTGGGCACACTCGTCGTTCGCAGATACACCGTCGGTGCGTCCTTTGTGTGTGTGTGTGTGTGTGTGTGTGTGTGTGTGTGTGTGTGTGTGTGTGTGTGTGTGTGTGTGTGTGTGTGTGTGTGTGTGTGTGTGTGTGTGATGTGCATCTTGGAAGCCGTATGCACGTGTCACGTCACGACCTTGTGTTAACCCACCGTATCATTACCTCACCATCCAGTATCAACCACACACACACACACATGACTTCATCAGGCGCTGAGCTTGGCGGTGCGTACGCCAAGCCAACTGCTGCACTGTTTCTCACGCTCTGGCTGATGTACATTCTTCTCTCTTCCCTCTCCACATACGAACACATTAGTCTGTAAGCGCTTGCCTTCGCCATTACCATCACAATTATGTGTGTGTGTGTGTTCTGTTTTGTTTCCTCGCGGTGTCTGTGTGTGTGCGTGTGTCTGTCTGTCATTTCCGCGACCACTGGCCTCAATTTCGTCCTATGTGTGTGTTCGAAAGCTCTTTTCACCTGCATGTGTCCTTCTGATCTTTCGTGTTTTCTCCTTCTTTTTTGTTGTTGCATGACACGCGTTGCTTGTCTTGATCAACCAGTGGTGCTGCTGCTCATTGTATTTGGTTAAGTTTAACAAACAAAAAGCAACCTCTCAACCACAGACTTGACTTTGATCAAGACACAAGCACACAGAGAGAAGGAGAGAGAAAGGGTGACAAACCACATAATGCGAGCTTGCTTGTGCAGCCAAAAAAAAAAAGCGTGCTTCTATGCAATTGTTGTTGTTGTTGTTTGCGTCTAGACTGCCGCCTGCCACTTGGCAACGAGGTCTTTGTTCACACCAAAGTCGTTCATCACCTTCATCTTGATCTCATAGTCGCCATCAGGGAGGTCCTGCTGCACGCACACATACACACACACACACAGGTGAACATGAACGGAAGCGATCAGCAAGCGACGACACTCACAGACACACGTACACACGCACACATGCACACACACGCAAACAAGCAAGCAAGCAAGCAAACAAACAAACAAGCCAACCTTGCGTTTTGTTGGCTTTGAGAGGCGTTCAAAGACAGATTCCTTCGAAGGGCTGCGGCTGCGGCTCGTGCTGGAGCGACTGACGGGCCGACTGCACGATGCAATAACACACACACATGTACACACAAGCACACGTGCCAGCACAGTATGGGGATGAGCACGCTAACACACACACACACACATGCACGCAGACACGTAGAAACGCAGGCCCAGATTCATACACGCAGGAATAGTGACATGGTGCGCCAGCTGCTACGAACCTTGTCTTTGGGGTTTCCCATGGCAGTGTTGGCTTGTTCGGTGCGTCCATTTCCTAAAGACAGCAGTGTGCAGTGCAGACGCAGAGGACAGCAGTCGTGTGAGCGCAGCCAGACGGGGGCACGATCACAGATCCAGGTATGGAGGGCATGAGCAACAGCAACGCAGCCTTGTCACGACAGCCATTTCCAACACCATCATCATCATCACCATCACCACATGCACCAACACGTGTACGCACCACATCAAGGTCGCGTGTGATCTTCGCTTCGCCAGCGAGCACGTGGCGATGGTGGTCATCCTCCCGCCGCCCCTCAAGCCCGAGCCCAACGCCGTCCTGCGAAAAGCGGTGCTTGTGTGTCCCGTTGTACCTGGCGAGGGCAGACGAGGAGGAGAAAGAAGAAGAAGTGTGTGTGTGTGTGGGGGGGGGGGAACAGCAAGATATTGTGGATGTGAGAAAGTGTGGAAGCAGAGTACTGGTGTGTATGTCACATGCGCGCACATCAAAAAAGTGGATACATGGCAATCAACACAGCCGTACACTGCTTGTCTCCCATGCCCTCTTGTACTGCTGCCTCCCATCTCTGATCACAAGACCACGAACGACGACTCGCACCGCTTGTGGTCGGTCAGCCGAACAAACACATCGGGGAGGTCGTCTGTCTCTGTTGTGGCGCGATCGTGGCGGCTCTCGGGCTGCGTTGAGCGAGGTGTCCACCTGATGCAACCAAACACGCAAACGTAATGTGATGTTAGTGGTGGTGGTGGTGGTGATGATGATACGTGAGTGAGTGTATGGGAGTGAGAGAGTAACAGAATGAACATGTCACCATATGCATGCAGTGCAGGTTGAGCACCTGTGTATGTGTGTGTGTGTTGTGTTGTGTTGTGTGTGCGTGTGTTGTGTTGTGTTGTGCGCGTGTGTGTGTTGTGTTGTGTTGTGTTGTGTTGTGTGTGTCCTATGTGATGCTTCCCCATGACCACCACAACTGCCAACATCCACACGATTAACACCAACTCCGTCGCACCATGGGTCCTCGGCCTTTGCGTCCGAGACGCGGAGACTCTTGATCAGATCCTGCGACCGCCGCCACGCGCTGATCTGCTCGCTGTCCTCACCAACGACCGTCCTAAAAACACACACACACACACATCACACGTGCATCAAAGTCAGTGTACCATTGGCACGCACAAGCACAAATCCACACACACGCATTCGGACCTACACGCATACACACGAATGCACACACGCATTCATACACACACACCGACGACACCTCACAGCATGCAGGCAAGCACTAGTTGGGCAGCGGGTGCAACAACATACAGTGGGAGCTGGCCAATGTTGTCGCGTTCGCTGTAACCGTGGTCGGTGTTCCACCTTCCCTGCGTATCACCGGACCGCTCAACGGGGTCCTGCGCACCAACAAGTAGATGGCACCAACCAGACAACAAGTAGATGGCACCAACCAGACAACAGCGCAGCCAGCAGTGAGGTGGAACTGGGGAAGGCACGTCAGCCGACGAAAACGCAGTGAAGAACAGTGTGTGTGTGTGTGTGTGTGTGCGCGCGTACATGTGCGATGTGCAGTGCAGCGCAACATGCATCTGAAATGTATCCACTTGTCACTCGGTTCGTGCACACACACACACATGTCCCCTGGTTCGCGTGTACGCACGTCTCTGAAGGAGGAGCGCTGGACGTTTTGGGAGAGAGGCCGGATGGTGCGGTCGCTGATCTCGACGTGCGGCAACACTACACAAACAGACAAGCAGGAACGAGGTTAGCAGGGAGGGGATGGCAGAGAGGAAGAGGCCCCAGCACATATTGCTGTGCAGGACAAACTGGTCGAGCAACTGCACGCAGCTGCATGACACTGCGTGCACCATCTTCAACTTCGCCTCAACAAGCCTGGAGCAACGCACCTCTTGGCGCCTCGAAGGTGCTGGTGTGTGTGGTGGAATTGGCGATGGGGCCCTTCTTGTCGTACACGGGGACCTTGTGGGTGTGGATGCGGCTGGACAGCGCCTCAGTCGATGGCGTCGGTGGCAGCTGGCGGCGCTTGCGCGGGGACTTTGCTGAGTAGGGCTGGCTCGCTGTGATTTTGTGGGGGTTGTGTCCTTGCAGGTTGCCTTTCCCCTCCTGATCATTGTACGCGCGTGCATAGGATGTAGCAGATGGGATAGAGTGCACATGAGTAAATGCAAGGTGTGTGTGAGAGAGAGTGTGTGTGTGCGTGTGTGTGTGTGTGTGTGTGTGAGAGAGTGTGTGTGTGTGTGATTGTGTGTGAGTGTGATTGTGATTGTGATTGTGTGTGAGTGTGTGTGTGAGTGAGCATGAGCTGGTGCAGGAGTCATGCGCGAGCGAGTTAGAATGAGCGCACGGATCAGGACGGCACCGCCCTTGGTCGGAACTCACAAAGACTTTCGATGAGGCTGTCAAGCGAACGTTTGACTCGCGTGGAACCTGGTGCACCGCCTCGATGGTGCGTGGGTCTGGCTCGTGTGCACGAAACGGCTTGTGCAGCTGTGTCGTGCCGTACACGTCGCGGCGGGGAAACATGGTTCGCTGTTGACCTGTGCTGCAGTGGGGATTCGGAGGGGGGGGGGAGGCGGTGTGGACGAGACAGGCAAGCGGGGGGGGGGAATAGGAGAGGAAAGTGCAGTGAGAGGAAGCGAGGGACGGAGAAGGGGATCGTGTAGCCAAAACGCGCGCCAGCCATCAACCAAGCAGGATGTGCGAGCAAGCAGGAAAAGCACTCAGCGTTCACACAGCAACTCATCTCATAACCACAGTTCCAAGCGCGCTCACACACCACACAACACAACACACAACACACAACACACAACACACAACACACAACACCACAGCAGCGCCCACGACAGCTCTTCCAACGACCGCGCACCAGGTCGTGAGGGGTGGAGTGTGTTGGCGATGGATGGCGTGCAGCTTGGCTTGTTTTTGGTTTTTTGTTGTGGTTGTGGTCGCCTTGATTTTGTGCTGTCGGACGGCAACCAAAACAACCGCAAGTGTCGCGTGCGCACCGGTGGATAGGCAAGAGTGCTCTACAACTCGCACATCCAAAAAACCGCACACACGTTGACGGTTTTTCAAAACTTCCCGCCAACCGCACGCTTCACGCAACGGCTACAGACTGCACCGCTCGCTTCCGACAACAACCACAACGACGATGATGGCAACAAGGTGTGTGTGTGTGTGTGTGTGTGTGTGTGTGTGTGTGTGTGTGTGTGTGTGTGTGTGTGTGTGTGTGCGGGATTTGGAGAAGCAGCACCAACACCACTGCCGGTGATGGTTTTTGTGTGTGAGCGCTTGCGCTTGTGAGCCAGTGATGTGTGTGGCACAGTGAAACGGCACCTCATCTCTGCTGCCACAACCCATCCACACTCACATGCACACACTCGCAATCACATGCACACACACACTCAATCACATGCACACACTCACTCACATTGACACACACTCACTCACATTGACGCACCCCCCTCCCATTTTCCTGCACAGACACGCTGGGAAGATGATGCTGGTGGCAGCAGTGGCCTGCCTGATGATGGTCACTGCGCGTGTGGCCGCCAGTGGCGACAGTGACGTGCACACCGTTGCTCACAAGCTGCGCGGTTCCCTCCCAGAGAGCGGCGCACGCGTCCTCAGCGGCAAGTCATACTACTACGAGACGGAGCCCCAGCCCCTCATCGACCCCCAGAACGTCATGCGCAACCCGCTCCTCCTCGTCTCCGAGCACATTGTTGGCACCTCCGACAACGAGTGCAAGGTCACCGTCAAGATCCCTGGACGCAACGATGTCACTGACACCCAAGTCTCCTTCTCCCCATTCACCAACGCCACCCTTTCCTTCAGCAAGGGCGCCAACGTGGACATCCACACAGGTTGGTTGTCCCCACTGAACAAGGCGCAGCATGTTTTGTGCGCGCGTGCTTACGTACGAGATGTGTGTGAGTATGTGCGTGTGTGTGTATATGTGTGTGTGTGCGCGCGCGTGAGAGTATGTGGTGTGTGAGTGTCTGTGTGTGTGGGTGTGTGGGTGGGTGGTGTTGGTTGGTGTTTATGCGCCCAATGTGATCGTGGACTCACATCTTCAACGTCTCACTCTCCTGACTCGTGCGCACACGCGCGCGCGTGCGCACTCACTCCTCTCTCACTCGCTCACGCCCCCTTCCCCTTTTCCTTCCCCTCACACTCACAACACACACACACACACACACTACAATGCATCTCACGCTGCGTCTCATCAGAGATTGACGCGTGCCGCATGTCTGGTGTGCTGGGCGGCATTGCCGTGATGATCCTGGCGCCCGCCCTGGTCGCCGTGCCGGCCGTCCTGCGTCCCGTCATGTTCCTTGTCAGCGCGGTCGTGTACCCTGTCTCCGCCGTCACGCGCGACTCCCGCCCCAGCCGCCTCACCTTTGTTGCCGCGCTCGGCGTCATTGCCACCTTCACCCTGCAGCGGGCCGTGGTTGAGCTCGTGCAGCGCGTGGAGGAGCAGTTTGGCCTCACTGCCGTCGGCGGCGCCCTGCTGCTGCTCTCCGTGCTCGGATACACGCAACTGGAGGCCACGGGCCAGCCCGAGGACCTGCGCCGGTATGTGCAGATTGCCCTGCAGCTCGTTGCGCTCATCGTCATCCAGACAAGCTGCCAGGACATTGAGGCCGGGTGGGTCATTGGCATGCTCGCCTTTGTTGTCTCTGCATGGCCCACGCTGTTCAACGGCCCCGCCACCGCCGCTGCCGATGAAGGCAAGCAGGCCGAGGACGTGCAGGAGCAGGAGTACACCATGACCGCCACAGCGACCACCACCACCGCCACGACCGGCGCCTCTGCCGTTGCGTCGCCGGAGCAGCAGCGCGTGCCGGAGTTTGCCGCGCTTGTCTCTGACGATGAGGTTGACATTGATGAGGACGAGGAGACGGGCGAGGTGCGTGTTCGCCAGGTGCGCACGCGCCGCTACATCACCCGTGCCGCCAGCAGCCAGGAGCCCTCGGAGTCGCTGCTCTCCGATGACGAGGAGCCCTCTGTGCCTGTCCAGCAGCAGCGGGAGGTGCAGGAGGAGGTGCAGCCACGCCGCCTGCCACAGCGCACCACCCGCACGCGTCCCCAGCGCACCCGGTCCGCCACCCGCGCCGCCACGCGTTCGTCGGCCTCGAAGCCAGCCCGCTCCTCAAGCAGAAAGACACGCGCAGCAGCAGCAGCAGCAGCAGAGGTGCGCAACATGAGTGTGTGTGTGTGCGCGCGTGTGTGTAGGTGTGTAAGTGTTTGTGTAGGTGTGTAAGTGTTTGTGTGTAGGCGTGTGTATGTGTTGTTGCCAACCCCAAGCATCGTGCTCTTGAAACGAATCTCACACTTGCTCACTTCCTCGCTTCTTTCGCTCCTCCTCCTTCCCACCCACCAACCTTCCGCTCTCCGCCTTTCTGAAGTCCTCGACCCCTGTGTCGCCGAGCCGCCGCGTGTACAACAAGGACGAGGTGGCCCGCATGTCCAACCAGGAGGTTGCTGCTGCCCTCAAGGCTCGTGGTATCGCCCGCCCCGTCACAGAGTCGGTCAGTCGCCTATGCCCCTTAATTGGGTGCTGTCTGTTGTTGACTGTGCAACGACAACACCGCAAAGCACTGCCTCCTCCACCACCCGCCATCACCTCACACCACCTCACACCACCTTACACCAATTCACACCACACCACACTCGCGTGCGTGCGTGCGTGTGTGCAGACGCGCCGCTTTGTGGAGAAGCTGCTTCTCAAGTGAACGCCGCTGCTCCATTCCCACCAACTGCGACAGCCGCAGGCTCCCTGTTGTCCCACGCATACTCACCCACGCTTCCACACACTACCTCCTCCCTCCTCGTGACGCTCTTAACCTGCCACCGCCGTCTTTCTTCATTTGTCTCGCGCCTTGTTGTTGTTGTTGTTGTCGGCTTTTGTCGTTGGCCCCAATCACTACCAAGTCCTTTCCTCCTCCTTCTCCTCCCCCCCCCCCAAGCACCCACACACGCTTTCGCTGTGTGTCATTTCCTCTCTCGTGTCAGTTGAGTGTGTTGCTGTATGCACACGGTGCGATTGCGTGCAGCATGACTTTGACGTTGCGTGCTGTACCCGTTTCAGTGTCGTCTTTGTCCTTTTTGTTTTGCCTTCACGTGCATTGTGTGCGTGTGCACGCCGTTTGTCTATTTCTTCTCTGTTGTGTGTTCGCGGCTATTTGTTTGTTTGTTTGTTTGTTTGTTTGTTTGTTTGTTTGTTTGTTTGTTTGTTTCAGTCTGCTCCCTCCTGTGCACCTCAGCATGCATTCACATGCACACATGTCCAGAAAACAATTCCCTGACCCGTCTTTGCTTCTTGATTTGTGCAGTGTTGTTGGTGTACGTTTGTTGGAATAAATGGCATTTTGTCGACACATGATAGCACAAGCAAGCAAGCCAGTGTGTGTGTGTTTGGTTCAATTGGTGCTGGCTGACATCTTTGATGTGATGGGACCAGAGTCTTCGAAGCTCTTTAGTCTTACAAACAACATTGAGCACACGACAAAACATCAATCCAAAGAAACACACATCTCTTCAACAACAACGGCACTATTCGCACACGCGCGCGCGTGTTTGCGCATACAATCACTCACGCACGAATCCCCCCCCCCACACACACACACCAATCACACACACACTCACACACACACTCACACACACACACACCAATCACACACGAACGCATGCTTCATCAGCTAGCGCCACAAGCCGCAGCTCTACTTCTTGGGCACAACCACGCGCGTTCGGTAGCGGTGTGCGCCTGCAACACGTGCTGTCGCCTCGTCCACCTCCTGCGGCTCAGCGCTGTCCAGTTCAACCCGCGTCTTCACATTGGCAGGCTTCTCTTCTGCACCACGCCGACCACGCCTGTCACCACCACCACGCTGCTGCTGCTGCTGCTGCCTCTGCTGCTGCTGCTGTTGCTGCTGCTGCTGTTGGTGGTGGTGCACGCGTGCGGCCTGCTCGGCAAGGGCTGGATCGAGTGTGGTCATCCGGGTGAGGTCAAGCCTACGTGTGCCGGCGGTGCGCGGGCGCTGCTGCCTCCCCGCCGCCGCCTCGGCAAGCTGCTGTCGATACTCCTCAACGTCAAACCGGTAGCTCGTCTCCTGTCAGGCGCGGGGGGGGGCATGAGAGCGGGAGAGGGATTGATGTTGTGGTGGTGTTGTGGTGTTGTGAGAGAGGTGTATGGCGAATGAGGAATGGTTGCGTTGCGTTGGAGAGGAAATGGGATGTTGGAGAGGAGGAGGGATGATGTTGGTGAGAGACGGGGATGGAGGGAAGGAGTGATTGTAAAGCGTGGCACGTTGTGATGAGGAACTTGCACAACAAGCCATGCGTAGACGTGGCACATCACGAAACGCAAAAGGATGCATTTCACATGATGAAAAGAGAGTCGTGCATGCGACAGATTTTGATGAGACAGGGTGGATGGGGTGGGATCGTACCGGGTGGCGTGCAAGCTCGGCCTTTCCTTCGTTGACGGCGCCGGCAAAGAGGTCCAGCATGAGGTTCACAGAGGTCTCCGAGTCGTCGTTGGCAGGGACGGGGTAGTCGACGCTGCTTGGATCGCAGTCCGTATCCACAAGCCCGACGCACGGGATCATGCAGTCACGCACCTCCTGCAGGGGACATTGAACGACAAAGACGGGCGGAGGGGGGGGGGGGACGAAAGCAAGAGCAAGTACAAGAACAAGATGAAGGAGGAAACCATAAGAAGAAGAACATGTGATGGTACACACACACACACACACACACACACACACACACACACACACACACACACACACACACACACACACACACACACACACACACACACACACACACACACACACACACACACATGCGGGGTGAGGGTTGGAGGAAAGGAATCAGCGACCACCACAAGAACAGCACGCAAGTCTCTACACGTCCGCACAGTTCCGCACAGAGTGTCGCTATGGCTGACACAAAGCCGTGAGTGGAGAGGGGGGGAACGTTTACCTTGAGAGCAGCCTGGTTCACGGGCAGCGAGAAGAACAGAACAAGATCTGGCAGCTGCATGCCGCCGAGCACCTGGATGGATCACAACACGACAGTGCATGCCATCAACCGGTCAATGAATACAGGACAGTCACAGGCACAACCCACTTTCACAAGACCACACATGTGGAGCTGTTCACAAACATCCCAACGCACGCACGCACACACATGCACGCAGATATGAGACAGGATTGCATTCTCACCCTGTATGTGTTGGTGAGGCAGCCTCCAACCCACTTCTTGGAGACAAAGTATTCGCCACAAGATGTGGCGGTGCGTCGCACCATCGTCTCAAACTGAGGACGATTGCTTACGAACAAGATCACGCCGCCACGGGAAGCAATTTCCCTGCAGGGCGTTGCCGCATTGTTTGTTGATGGTGTGGAACGTTGATGAAAGCCGGGGATGGACATCAACTCAAGAGATCTTGAACAACAGGATTGCCGAAAATAACAACGTGCGCGCATCCACACACACACACACACATGCAAGTACACAAATGCAAATATGCGTGCAATGACACAAATCCAAGTACACACACACACTCACTCACTCACTCACCGCGCGCATGCAAATACACAAATGCAAATATATGTGCAAACGCACGCACAAATGTTTGAAAGAGGGCAACTCACCTGGTAATGTCAAGGGCGCGCTGCAGCAGGGGCACGGTCTTGTCCAAATCCAGGACTGTCAGGCCATGGCGTTTCTCGTAGATGAAGTCGTCCATCTTTGGGTTGTTGACACCGTGCTGTGGTAGAACCCAAAAAGAAGCACAAACAGGCACAACCAACAACACACACAGAGAGAGTTCAAATGCGTGGAAGAGCATGAGTGAGGCATGCATCGCAGTCAAGGCACACCTTGCTGAATCAAACTGGAAGGTGGTGGTGGCCCAAATGGATACAAATAGAAAATGTGCAATTACACACTTACATACACAGCACATACAAATGCACATTGTTTAAACAGCACACCGCCGTCCACACATGCACAGTCAAACAAAACACACACACACACACACACACACACACACACACACACACACACACACACACACACACACACACACACACAAAGCACGCACCGTGTGACCGAGGTGCACGCGGGCCTGGACAAGGTCTTCCATACTGAACGTGGTTGCGGTGCGCACATGCGGCAACCACCTTGGCGCCGCTGCTGCTGGTGTTCCTGTTGCTGTTGCTGGTATTCTCCTGCTCACGTGCCGCAGCACGGCAGCCACAACACCACTAGCCATGCCGGTCGCCTTTGCACCACCACTCGCCAGCATCGTCGTGCTCGTCTCTCTTCCCAGCGTGGTCGCAGGAGGGTGGATTAGTGATAGTTTGCTAAAATTATCCATGAATTTTCGTTGCCACTTGGTTGGTAGTGTGTGTGGTGGTGGTGTCTTTGTCGTTGTTGTCGTGCAAGCGTTGTCACATCATGTCACACTCACACACACACACACACACACTCACACTCACACACACACACACAGACACACACACACACAGAGTTGTCTCCATCCATATGTCAAAAGGTTCAATCCTTCATTGTCAAAGCCACATGTTGTGCTCGAACAACACATGACACAAGCAACAACAGGCATGGATGGAACAAGACGACGATGGAGGGAGGCAGGCCCACCAAGTGAGGCATACGTAGCAGTCACAAAGAGAAAAAAACGAACAACATCAACAACGACAAGAAGCAGTCCAAGAGAAAAGAAAAAAAAAAACAGGACACCAAAGAGACACTACACAACACAACGCCACGCACACGACGCAGAACAAGAGCCATCCCATTCCCGCTTCCACCCAGTTTGCACACAAGTTGCGCTTGTCGGCGCCGGTGAAGCGATAATGTTGATGTCGATGATGATGTCGATGATGATGTCGATGATGATGATGTGGGTTCAGGTGATTTGATGGGTGGCGACCGGTGACGGCGGTGGGTGGCGATAACCAAAGCAAATGGCACAGGCTGGCTAGTACTCCTCAAACTCCTCCTGTTCCTCCTCCTCCTCCTCCTGTTCCTCCTCGTCTCCCTCGTCCACAACAACTTCGTCCCCGTTCTCCTGCGCGTGCTCCTCGCCCTCCTGCACAAACGGCCCGTCAATGCCCTCCTCAGCCTCGTCATCAAACTCGTCCTCCCCGTTGCTGTTTGGCGTTCACAACACACAGGGCAGCAACAGCAGGGGTGGTGGTGGTGGTGGCAGGAAAGGAAATGAGAAAGCGTGCAGGAAAGCGAGAGGACAAGCAGGCAGGATACGATGTACACACACGCATTGGAATGCCATGGCAAAGCAAGAGCAGCACTGAGTCACGTGAGAAGCAACGACCACCACTACCACCACCACGACAAGCAGCAGGTGCTTGACTTACAAAGCGTACAGGGAAGTTGGGTCATAGTCTGTGCCGTAGTGACTGCGAACCTGCGGGGGGGGCACAAGCGCGGAAGCATGGAACGCATAAATGATAGCGAAACGTGTCGATGCAAATGACAACCCTCCCCACATAATCACACACGCGCACGCCTCACTCGCAAGCATCACCCCCGCATACACGCATACACGCATCTCACGCTCACTTCACACACACACACACACACGCACACATACCGAGTCGTTGAGACGGGAGCGTGGCACTGGCGTTGGCTCTGACAGCTTGACGCGGGGGTTGTTGGAAGGGATCCAAAGTGGGGGCACCTCCATCTCGAAGCGAGGGCCCTTCTCGGGCGAAACCTGGCCGTAGCCGTGGGAGGCAACCTGAACCAACGTGACGCCAATCATGGAAGGAAAGCAATACGCAGAACGTGAGCAACGCAGCACGCACATGAAGTAACAACGACGGGCGTGAACCGGTGGCCCAGCAGCTTAGGCACGCGGATACAAACACACTTGAGCCACACACACACATACACAAACAACCACACACACACAAAAAAAAAGGGGGGGGGACACATACAAACACACAAACAACCACACAAACACACACAAATAACCACACACTCACACACAAACAACCACACATACACACACAAGCACTGTGAGGACAGCAGCGCACGATCCATGCATGCACCTTCTCTGTGAGCTGGTTGCGGGGCGCTGCTGGCGGGTCGCGTGGGACCTCGCCCTTGAAGGTGAGCGACCACCGCGGCTCGGGCTGCTTGGGCGCTGGCTTCTCCCCGCGTGGTGGCGGCGCCTTGCCGTACTGCGACGAGCGCACCTGTTGAGAGAAGCGGGGGAACGTCCCATGGCAGGACGTGCGAAATAGGTGAGACGAGTGGTTTGGTGGCGGCATCGGCGAGAAGACAAAAAGCGTATTCATCAGTGCACTTGCAATTCAACCTTAACCGGCCAGCACACAACGAAGCTCGCGAGAAAACGAGGCTACAACTCCCATACACAACAGCACCACAAGAAACGATGTGCACACACGCGCGGGTGCGACACTGCACCTTGTCTGCGAGTGGCGTCTTTGTGGCAAAGGGCTCCAGGGGCTGGTCGAGCACGGACGAGGACTTGTCAAAGGAGAAGTCAACGGGGCCACGCTCCTTGTATTGGCGGGGCGCAACCGGCGGCGACGCAAGCCCGTACTTGCTCGACGACGCAGAGTCCCGCAGCGCCCTGACGCAATCGAGAGGTGGTGGGGACACGCAATTGGTGGAAGGGGGGATGGTGAGCGGGTGATGGTGAGGCTTCATTCAAAAGGAAATGTTGGACGTTGTTCCACAATCAGCAGCGCAGAGCAACAACAACAACAACAACAACAACAACAACAACAACAACAACAACAACAACAACAACAACAACAACAACAACAACAACAACAACAACAACTGAAACAACAACAACAACAACAACAACAACAACAACAACAACAACAACAACAACAACAACAACAACGACAACGACAGCGTCGTGCGGAGTGACATGACTGACTTTTGTTTTGGGGATGGGGTGTGGTTTGGAGGGAGGCCGAAGCTGAGCTCGAGTTTTGACCGCGAGTTGACTGAGGAGAGGCCGTCAAGCACAAACTCGCCCTCCTCCGTCTCCTTGTTCTTCGCGTCCTCTGCAGCCTCCTTGTCTGATCTGTCCATGAGCAGCGAGTAGCGCGGCACAAACTTGCTCGGCGTCGTGGACGTGTCCATGCTGTTGGAGCGCCGGGGCGCAGACGAGGGCCGCTTTGCGTCAGGCAGCACGCGCCCGTACCCAGACGATTTGACCGACTGCCGCAGCTTGCTCTTGGGCATTTGTGGGCGGAACTTGAGCGAGGGCGCAGAGGAGGGGCGGGAGACAGCGGCGGACACGCGGCCGTAGCCAGACGACTTGACGGTCGAGAACTGTCGCTGAGCAGACGGGGAGCGCTGGATCTCTGGTTTGAATTTGGGAATCTCGGGGGCCACCTCCTTCCTGGTGGGGATGGCGCGGCCGTAGTTGGACGATGGGGCACTCTTGCGGATGGGGCTCTCCTGCAGCTCGGGCTTGAAGGTGGGCACCTCCTCCCAGGGACGAAGGTCGTTGGGCTCGAGCACAACGCGCTTCACCACAGGCACGCTCTTGCCGTAGCCGGAGGACCGTGCACGCGTGCGCAGCTCTGGCGAGGACATGAGGTCTGGCTCAAAGGTGGGGACCTCGTTGTAGATGCCGTCCCACTCGTTGGGCTCCTCCCGTTCAAGCTGGTCCAGGCCACGCTCAGGTGCCAACGCCCACGAGCTCTCACGGTCCTGCTTGCGAACACGTGTGTGCAGGCGTTTGTGTGTGTGCGTGAGGAGGTGTGTATGAGAAGGTGTGTTTGTGTACGCGTTGGTGGGAGACAGAGAGAGAGAGTAAGCGAATGTGAGTGCGTGTGTGGGTGCGTGCGTGCGTGAGTCAGCTCGTGTGCGTGGATTGCTGCATGTTCAGTGGTGTCTGAGCGCTGCTGTTGTTGTTGCTGTTGTTGTTGTCGGTTGTGTGACCAGTGCTGTTGGCGTGTACTGGACAACTGCGAAAATGCGGTGTGAGCGCCGTGTAGCTGCACTCGTCAAAGGGCACTGCAACTGCAGTGTCAGTTGCCCCAGTGATGGTGGTCAGTAGGGCAGGGCGGGCAGCAGCGACTGACCGTCATGATTGCTGTGGCTGGTTGTCGATTGATTGATAGGAGGGGAAACAGTGGTTTTCTTGGAACGGAGTGCGTTCGGTGCCTGTTTCAACTGCATGTGGCAAACCAAGGAGGAGAGCGGCGGCCAAGGATTGTGAGCGACAAATCAACAAGGGCTTGCAAGTAAGCTCAGTTGTGCTGGAAATGAAGCAGTACACGGGGTGCTGATGACGTGACCCCACACAACAACAAATGCCGACGATGGTGCTGGCGGTTGGGGCGAGTGGGCACGGAAGGAGCTGTTGCCGTTGCGGGTGTTGCTGGCATAAGAGCGGCATTTGAGCACTGCATGCAGTGATCGCAGCCAACTCACACGCACCACGCACTACACACACGCACACACACACAAACACACACACGCATGCACATCGTCCCCCATCCATTCTGTCATCACACCACACCACCGCGCTGTTTTGTGCTGCTGTTCAGTGGGAGCTCCACACCGACAAAAAAAAAAAAGCCTTCATCGTCCTCTTCTCTTCAACCCTTCCTCCTCCCCTTTGTTCTCAAGCACCCGCAGCTGCTCATCCACAGGCAAGGCCGCAAGCCCAAGCCGCATTCCACCCATGCACTCGATCAAGCAGCGAGCGGCAGATGGGGCTCGTGTGCTCACCCTGAGTCTCAGTGCTGCCACAACGGCCGCGAAGAAGCAAAGCAGATGGGGGTCACGCAAAGGCACAAGAAGCAACTCACCGCTCGCTCGCACACACAGGGGGGAAGCGAAGGCACTGGAGCGCAGCCGAAAATCTGACATGTTGCCAGTGAAACCTCGAACCCGAATTTCCCCGGGAGTTTTTTACCTGGCGTTTGCAGGATTTTGTGTGAGACTGTGTTGCAAATTGCACCGTTCGCCAATTTTGCGGAGCATCAGAGCTGTTTTGAAATTCGCGGCACACCAAACACAAACAGCGAAAAGAAAGAAGCAAAGCAAAAGCAAAAAAGAGGGAAAACGCAGGCGAAGGAGGACGGTGCTGTCTGGCTGTCTGGTTGCGAGCGAAGCTGGTTGCTGGTTGCGAGCGAGGAGACAGCGGCATTCGGAAGGCGCTGGGCTGACTTCACTGTGGGGATCAGTGCAAGGACAACGCAGCAGCGCGTTGGAAAAGGAGGGAACGTGACAAGAAGTCATGGATACCAGTGGCGATGGCGGTGGTGGTGATTTTGGAGACCAGCTTGTGCTCTCCGATGACGCTGCCACGGACTACGAGCCAACACAGGACGGTAGGCTCTCGTGTGCAGTGTGTGTGTGTGTGTGTGTTTTGGGTGGGTGTTGCTGTGGGTACAGCTGTGAGGCTGTGTGAGTGTATGTATGTGTATGTGTGTGTATGTGTGTGTGAGATGTGAGTGGATGGGTGTCGAGTGTGTTGGGGTGTTTGAAGTGTACAAACGACATGTGCAAACACATGCGTGCGTGCGCAACGTACGCGTTTGTGATGTGTCACGTCAAACACTATGCCAGTCCGTGGTGTGGTGGTGTATGTCTAGCATCAGCTGTCACGTGTGTGCCTCACACAAAGGTGTGCACGTGTTTGTGGTGGTGATTGGCAGAGATTGAGGCGTACGCAAAGGAAGTGTTGGAGATGGATCCGGCGGAGGACCCTGACCTCTTGTACATTGCTCGCGATGCATTGAAAGCACCGCTGCCAAAGAACTGGAAGGCTTGGTGCGTTGGCTCCAGTCCAGACATGCTGCACGCTGTACTGTGCTCTGTGCTCTTTGCTTCGTGCTCTGTGCTCTGTGTGTAGGTGCATGTCTGTGTGTGTGTTGCTGAGTGTGTGTTCTTGTATGCCTGCGCATCGGGATGTGTCTGTGTCCGTTGTTGTGTATGTCTGTGCATCGTTGGGTCCCTCTGCATGTGCGTGTGTATGTCTGTGCCCATGGCTGCATGAGCATCTGTATGTGTGTGTGTGTGACAATGACACGCTGAAGCAGTGCGTTCATTTGTGGTGCGTGTCTTGCGCGTCTCTGTGCTGCCTATGCGCGCCATGTGCACTATTGCCTCCTCACACTGTGTGCGATGCACTTGTCTTTCGCATGCAGCCAAGACAAAGGCACCGGTGAAATTTACTTTTTCAACTTTGACTCCGGCGAGAGCAAGTGGGACCACCCGTGCGATAACGACTTTAAGGAGGTCTGTGTTTGGAGTGTGTGTTTGACGAAAGCACGAACGTGCACACGAGACAAGATTTGGCTGCTGCGGCGCGTTGTGTCTCCGTTCCGTTGCCATCTCGGCCGCAAATACTCACTATCGCACAACACCGTTACAAATGAACGCACACACACGCACACACGATGCAGTTGTACCAGAAGAAGAAGGCTGAGAAGCAGGCAAAGGGCAGCGCAGCGCCCGCCAAGCAAGAGCAAACCACCGCCCTGGGCAACGTCATGGATATGGGTATGTGTGTTCATGTGTGTGTGTGTTCGTGTGTGTGTGTGTGTGTGTGTGTGTGTGTTCGTGTGTGTGTGTGTGTGTTCATATGTGTGTTCATGTGTGTGTATGTGTTCATATGTGTGTTCATGTGTGTGTGTTCATGTGTGTGCGTGTGCGGTTTCGCGCATGGCAACAGTTGAGCAGTGTGCACCACGTGCGCATGGTTTGCGAATTCCCTTCGCCCATCACTCATTGTGTCACGCAATGCGCCATCTTGGGACATGACATCCCTAGACGACTTCCTGGCGGACCAAACAGACGACGAGCCAGAACTCTCAGATTCGGGCGACGACCACACGCGCGCAGCACTGGTGCGGACAAGGGAAATTGGAGGAGTGGAAGGTGTTTCTGCACGCAGCTTGCACGAAACACACACAAGATGTACGCCGCGTTGCACGCACACACAGGCGCGCGCAGTTGTTCGCTCGCTCACATATGCCCTTCACACGCTCGTTCCTGCCCATACTCGCCG